GCCTGCGAGATCTTGGCAGACTGCAATGGGCGCCAGCAACGCCAAGGCGAAAAAACGGGCCAAGATTTTACGCGACCAGTACCAGGACGAAAGGTCCAAACATGAAATGATTATTCGGGATTTGTCGGGCGCAAAACCAGCTGCAAAACTGATGTTGGGAGGTGAGTCGAAAGGTGTAGCACTTGGGCGGAAGAGAAACCCATTGCCACAATATGTCCTAGCGCCCCGCGCATGTTTCATGAAGGACAACGGTAATTGTCACATCGGTGTGAACCAAAAGAGACTGCTAACGGCTGCGTCCAAGGCGACGCTGGACAGACAGCAAGCTGGGCTGGAACACACCATCCGCGCGAGCTCAAAATGTTTATCATCAGATGGTGGTGGCCCGCTGTTTGTTCGCATGTGCTGTGGTCACCAATGGGGCGAAGTTGAGGCGAAGCAAGCTTGGCGACCTTCGCCGGGATATCGTACAATGCGAAAGTCAATGAACATGCCGGCTTTGAATCAACGGAGTAACGTTTCAGTCAGCTTCATGGATACTGGCCGCAAGGAAGCAAATCGATGCGATCAACACTTCCTTTCGACGCCGATGGAGGTCAACGGGGCGGCCGCCCATCAATTGTTCACAGGGGCACAGAGTGGATCACCGCAGGAGCTCGACATCTCTGGGACTTGCGTCTCTCGCATTGTGGACGCGGCGAGGCAGGCGTCATCAATTGCATTCTCGCCGATGGCAGTCTTCTGCGAACGTGCCAATTTTCAAGGCGTTTGGGCGCTGCCTCCATAACAGCGCCAAGCGCAACTTGGGCGACCTTGGGAAGCACATCCCCCCCCCCCCCCCCGACGCGTTCCAAGTGCGCAGCCGCCGCCGTGGCAAGCTCAAACTGCGTGGCGCCAAGCACCGCGCGATGGGGCATTTCTCGATAGTCGCGACGAATCGGATCGGCACCTGCGACCAGACCCAGACCCACATAGTCGACCCGGAGGGCGAGATTACTATCGACGGCGCCCCGATCAACGAACGCTCTCTGGACTCCAACCTCCCCTCAGGACCGCAGTGCACGCCGCTGAGGCGCATCCGCGCTACTATCAACAATTACACGGCACGGTTGTGTCTGCCAGGATGGTTCGATAGTTTCAAGCTTGGTACGGTGCAGGCGTTGGCACGGAGATTGCGCAAATGCAAGATGCCAATTTTGGGGCATAGCATTTGCGACATGCAGGTTGGTTGGGGCGAGGTTGCAAGCGCTGATCGACCTATACAAGGCAGTGAAAGCGTGGCTTGGGGCTCAAGGCGAAGCGCCCCTTGCCAAGTGCATGCCGCACTTCTCCATCATCCTGGGCTTCATGGATGCGAAAGGTATCGCCATGGCCGAGGACATGTGCACCGTCTACGCTTGCGCTACTCTCCAGTCGACGGCACGGCACCGCGGAAGCGCCCAGCGTGCCTTGAAGATGATGCCGTCCGATTTCTTCTTTCGCTTGTTGTCCATGAGCAGCGTGGCCATGGCGCCCCAGATGCCAGCGCGGAGGAGAGGCCCCCGCCCCCCCCCCCCCCCCCCTGGCAGATGCTCCAGCGATGCTCCAGCAGGCGAAGCCGAAGTTCTCGAAATTGCAGATGGGGGTGGGCAGCGGCGGCCCAAGAGGCAGAGGAGGAAGGTCGCCGTTGTCTTGCTTAGCTCTCGCGTCGTTCTCGGTGCAAGCCCTTGGCATCACATGACTACCATGGTTTCGGAGGCGATTCGCCCCTGGGCGTTTCCTTTGAAGGCTGAGCTTTTGAAGGACGCTGCGAAGCGTACAGGGGTCGTCGACGACTTCCACGGCGCCCTGAAGATATGGAACGAGAAGCTCGTGAAGAAAATCACCCGCGACCCCGAGGCAACGTTCGCTGATGTGTTGTCCGCCATCCACGTCATCGCGCAGTGTAGCTTGCCCCTGGAGAGATCGCGGCCAGATTCCGATGACGCGCGAGCTGCGCGCCGAACTATCCTCGAGACTGCGCGGTTGAGTGGTAACCCAACGACAGAGTTTGCTCAGATCATGGCCAGCTACGTGGTGCCGAAGATGCTCATGGAGGTCTCCAGGCTCCACGTCCAGCAGAGCGTCGAGGACTCCACTGCTACCTCGGGCTTCACCCGCGCCCTGCAGCACTTCGAGAATACCTTCGGCGCGGCGCCCCATGATATCGAGCCCTGGCTGGATGCATTGATGGGGCAGTGCGACGGGAACCTGAACATCGTGAAGGACTTGTTTCAAGAGCTTGTGTTGCTCTTCGCTGGGGTTAAAGGTCCATCACTCAGGTGGCCAACAGCTGCAGTGCATCCGAACGTCGACACGGTGACCGACTGCCTCGCCGACGCGATCGAGATGCTCAGGTGCGGGAACTACTTCTCGACCCGCGCCTTCTGGGATGCGATCGGGCGGAAACCGGGCAACTTGAAGACTCTCCTGACGGACTGCCGCTCCGTGCACGACGCGCTCCAGAACGCCGCGGGCGCGACTGAGCAAGACCGAGGGCACTGGGAAGATCAGCTTCGACCTGCGACCTGCGACCTCAAGGATATCGAGGGCAAGTTGGACGAGTACCAGAATAGCCTGACTGCTTGTGCGGACCTCCTTGCGGACATGCGCGGCCGCTGCTGGGGCTGCATGATGGCCTTCTTGCGTCGTGCAGGCAGCAAGGCCAACGGAATGTTCGACGAGGCGGATCTTTCGAAGGTTTATTTCGAACTTATCCTCGAGAACAATGTGATTCAGCTCAAGGACTTTACGGAGTACATCAAGCTGGCCATTGCCGTGGAGGCCCGCGCTTCATTGCCTGGGACATCGGAGCAGTTCGAGGCGGATGTCATCAGCATGTCGCATTTCAGGAAGGAGCTTGTTCGTTTATTGCTCGGACCCGTAACGCCCGTTACGGGGGGGGGGGGGGGGGGGGGGGGGGCATGTGGGCCCAATCCCAACCCACTGGGCCCAATCCCAACCAACTGGGACCAATCCCAACCAGCGCCAAAAGCAAGCTGGGCCCAATCCCAACCATCTTGGGATAGCCCCACATAAGGATTTTAATTGTAGATAAGCCCAAGACGACTGCGAAGACCAAGTTGCGCCCCTTATGTCAACGCAGAGGGTCTGGAAGCCAACATGCGAGCTCGAGTTGGAATTGGTCTCAGTTTTTGGTCTGCGCACGAGCATTGCGTTAAGATGAGCAAGAGGGCACCGAAGCGTAAGCAAAAACGTATCAATTTGCATCGATTCTGAAATGTGCACATGGATCCTCCCAGTAGTAGTAGTAGTAGTAGTAGTAGTAGTAGTAGTAGTAGTAGTAGTAGTAGTGGTAGTAGTAGTAGTAGTAGTAGTATCAGTAGTAGTAGTAGTAGTAGTAGTCGTAGAAATAGACGTAGTAGTAGTATCAGTAGTAGTAGTAGTAGTAGTAGTAGTAGTGGTGGTAGCAATTGTAGTCGTAATCGTAGTCGTAATCGTAGTCGTAGTAGTCGTAGTAGTCGTAGTAGTCGTAGTAGTAGTAGTCGTAGTAGTAGTAGTAGTAGTAGTAGTAGCATAAGTAGTGGTAGTAGTAGAAGTACTAGTAGTAGAAGTAGTAGTAGTGGTAGTAGTAGTAGTAGTAGTAGAAGAAGAAGTAGTAGTAGTAGAAGTAATAGTAGTAGTAGCAGTAGTAGTAGTAGTAGTAGTGGTGGTCGCAGTAGTAGTCGTAATCGTAGTCGTAGTAGTCTAGTAATAGTAGTTGTAGTAGTAGTAGTAGTAATTCCGAAAGCATCCTAAGGAATTCCGAAAGCATCCCAAGGAATTCCGAAAGCATCCTAAGGAATTCCGAAGGAATCGTAAGGAATCCCGAAGGAATCCCAAGGAATTCCGAAGGAGTCGTAAGGAATTCCGAAGGAACCCAAAGGAATTCCGAAGGAGTCGTAAATAATCCAGAGGAATCCCGAAGAATTCGAGGGGATCTGGAAGAATTCCGAAGATCCCATCCGTGGTTGGAATTGGTTTCATTTTTGGTTGGGTTGGAATTGGTCTCATTTGTGGTTGGAATTGGTCTCATTTGTGGTTGGAATTGGTGTCTTTTCTGGTTGCAATTCGCTCCGAACGGTTGGAATTGGGACTAGTCGGTTGCAATTCGTTTCATTTCGGGTTCCCCCCCCCCCCCCCCCCCGTAGCGGTAACGAGCGTGCGGGGACGGGGGTGCGGACCCCCCCTCCGTCCAGGCAGGCATGCTGTGACGCTCGCATGTGTGCTCGCAAGCATTCTGTCTCGCTCACAGGCGTGGCGCGGTGCTCTCACGGACGCAGTGGTGCCCTGTTGCTGAGAGGCGTTGGTGCGGTGGTCGGATTGCGGCGCTCGTAGCTCCCAGAGATGTGGTGCGTGCAGGCCGCGCACGGGCGTTATGTTATACGTGAATGTTGCGGCGTTCGCAGTTGCCGCGGCGTGCGCAGGCACGGTCGGCTTCGACGACGACGACAGCGGCGACGACGACGACGACGACGAAGCCTACCGCGCCGACAATTGTGCTGGCAATAAGTACCAGGGCCCGTGCGAGGGCCCCGCCGCGCGTCACCGTTACCCCCAACTTGGGGCCGGCCCCCCCCCCCGCAACGGGCGTTGCCCCCCCCCCAATGAAAAAAACAAGCTCGAGGAGATTAATTTGAGGGGGATGCCGTGCTTCAGAAACGCCAAGTGCACGGTGACAGCGGAGAGCGTGGTCAAGGAGGTCATCGAGCAGATGCAGTCCTTCATCGGTAATCTTGGTGACTGGGGACTTGGGACGATGGTCGACGCGTGTGGCGTCGAGGGCTCATGGGCGGGCATCCCTGGTAGCCGCCCAACGTTGCTCGATCTCCCCTCCCCGTCTGAGATGGGGAGGGGGAGATCGAGAAAGGGTGGGCGGCGCTGCGGATGCTGTGCCCCGTCTGCATAGGTGATGACATCTACCATCGTGGTACTGATCAACTGGTGGAGTCGGCGATGGCGAGCATCGAGCTAGCGCCGAGGTTCACGGCAGGTGTTCCATAAGGAGGTGATCTCTGGGGCCAAGGCCCCGTCGATCTTCCATATGCTCTTTCGCGACGTGACCATCCTCGACTACCTTCGCATCCAAGAGTTGTCATTTGGCGCTGAGGTTGGCACAGACCAGTTTGCAGAGCTTGCGCGCAAAGTGGCCCAGAAAAGCTTGATCGACTTCGCCAATGCCAGCAGCTTGAGTACCATCCCCATGCCTACTTGCGTCTGCCTGAGGGACGATAAGTTGAAGGACATGCCGCAAGCAGATGCGTTGGTGCTCATCGAGATTTCCAACAAGACGAGGGACCTCTCCGCGTGCTGCGCTTCGCTCCAAGGAATGTTGTTCAAGAGCGTGGCTGGAACGGAAACAATGGCCATCGATGAAGACACGCTGCGCGATGTCACGATCTACGTTCAGGCCGCAGTCGCCAACAACATCGCGAAGCTCGACGAGGCGCTCAACTCGGTAGCGGCGCTGGCGCTGGAAGGGAATGGATGGGAGATCCCGCTGAACCTTCAATCTCTCCGTGGGTGGTTACGCAACGTGGCGTGATTCTGCGGAGAGGCAACCGACCAGCTGCTCGAGATCATGGCTGGCCACCTGCAGGTCCTGGCAGACAAGCGCAAGGAGAGCGCCCCCCCATCGGGGGCAGCTTTCAGCCAGGGCAAGATGGATGTGAAAATGGCGAGCCGCATCTTCAGCGACAAACTTGGGAATGTCATCCAGCAGTACAATGCGCTCCACAAGTGCCTCAGCAGGACTTCGTCAGCAGGGCAGGTACTGAACGCCACGCCAGACGTGCAGAGCAACGAGATCACGTCGCAGGCGGTTGCCGTCGGCATCGAGATGCTGGCCAGGGGGTTCAGATGGGCAGCGCGCGATGATGAGGCGGAGGAGGGGCAAGGAGGGCGAGGAGGGAGGGGGGGGATGGGGCCAGGGCACCAAACCAACGCCGGTTTAACTCGCGAGGTTGGGAGGCGGAGGATGACGGAGATGGGAGGGGAGGGGGTGGGGGACTCAGGCGCGATCTCATCATATGCGCGTTGCGCCTTCTTGAACCCCCCCGCAGGGAAAATCGAACCAGGCCGTGGTCATGATGAGGGGGGCGACCTTGCTGACGGAAGTCGGCAACAAACCAGATGGCGGTAGCAAAGCTGAGGCGTTCTTGAAACACCACGGGATTCCAAAGAAAGACGCCATTCCCGAGGCCTTCTGGAGTGAACTGGTTGCGTTGTCCCATCGGTGCTGTTCTGAGGGGGCCGTTTCGGACGTTGGCGGCGATGAATATAGTGGCGGTGATGTGAAGTCTCAGAGTGGGTCGGGTTTCGGTGGCAGTTCTAAGGCCACGCCAGCTCCGAAACAGAAGCAGGGCAGTAGCGCGGGCAGCGCGGCGAAGTTCAAGGATGTGAAAGCTGAGTCTGCAGAGGATGCGCTTTTCGACGATGTCCTGCCAGACTCAAACCCAGAGGGCAGGGAGCACTGCTCCCGCAGCAAGCCGCAGACGACGGTCAGGAAAGGCCTGCGCCGCTGCTCGTAGGTAGGACGCTGCTGCAGCAGCGACGGGATGAGGGATGGGGGGAGGTTTCGCAGGAAGGTTGATGCAGTGGCGGTCGTCGTGCCGTCTTGCAGCCAAATCCTCCCCCGCTCCTTTCCCCTGACCTCCCCCCCCCCCCCCCCCCCGCCCGCAGTTTTCAAACGTTTGATGTTGCCCGCCCCCTTAGTCTTGATCGCCAGCGTTCCCAGATGTCTTTCCAGGGCCCACCTCCCCTTCCATGACGAGGGGGAGAGGCAGTGGACAGGGGCAGGAGGAGATGGGCAGGAGAGGAAGCAGGGCAGAGAAGAGCACGCTCGCTTTTGCTGACATCCCCCTCGATGGGGGCCTCGCGCGCTGGGCCGTGGCGCCGCGATATGTTTCGCAATCCTCGGTCTCCTTCCTTTCCCCCTCCAGCCGCCTGCAGTCGCGACCAGTGGACTGCGAACTCAGTCCGACAAGGTGGCTCCAGCGCCGAGGATGAGGGATTTAAGAAAAACGAGAAACCCATGCAAATCTCTCATTGTCCGAAGCCGTCCTGCCTACTTGCCCTTCATTACCCCACCGTCACTTATCCTGACCTTTGCTCTCTCCTGCGCTCTCCTCCTCCCCAGTTTCATGTATGCCCCTGCCGTCTTCCTCTCCAGTTATGCCTCGCTCTGCTTCGTCATCCTCCTGGACCTTCTTCTGCGCAGCAGTTCGAATGGGGCTCAGTTTCGGACGCCTCGCGCGGGGCCTGCCCTCGGACGAGGGCGAAAGTGACGACGCGAGGAACGGGATCACGAGTGGAGAGGGGGAGAAGGGGAGGAAGAGGATGGATGAGAAGAGGAATGGGGAGGAGGAGGGGGAGGAGGAGAAGGAGAGGAGGGGCAACGATGACAACGAGCAAAGGACATGATAAACCCGCCCTCTTTGGACAGATGCCCGATTAACCCTGTAATGGACTTGGGTTGCGAAGGCAACGCGTATTACGTTACTTGCCACCTTCTTTGTAAGGTGGGTGAGGTAGCCGATTGTCGTGCGTACGTTTCGTTTTGACGACCCCCCCTTGCGGACCCCTCTGACAACCTTTCCCGTCTTGACGCTGGGGGGGCCCTATAGACCTGGCCCCCCAGGCGGTCTCAACTCTTGGGAAGGCTCTTGGAGGCCTCTGGGGACGTCGTGGGTGCTGTTTCGGCAGACTGGAGGCCACCCTGGGCGTTTTGGAGCTATTGGTTGGCGATTCGGGGCCCCCTTGGGCCGTACTGGGGCCTCTTTGGGACCCTCGTCGCCCGTCTTGGGGCCCTCCCGGCTCCGAAAGCGGGACACTGGGAGCCACGGGGGGCACGCGGGACGCCCCAGGAGATCTGCGGATGTGGGGCCCGGGTCCGGGGAAGGACCTCCTCCTCCTCCTCCTCCTCCTCCTCCTCCTCCTCCTCCTCCTCCTCCCCCTCCTCCTCCCCTTCCTCCTCCTCAGGGAAGGGTCTTCGGGGCGGATGACTACGGCTCAGGGCTCGAGCAAAGGGCCTGGGGACATTCCTTTTCGCGTCACAGGGACGCGGTTGCGGATTTTGTGCGTTGGCTTCCGCGGGCGCGCGTGGGGAGCGCTGCCGCCTCGGCTATCCACACTCGACAGAGAAAAGGATCCAGATTCCACTCTAGTGAGTATCGTCCCCAGGTTTGCAACCCCCGTCCTCATGCCCAGCCTTTGTACTCATGTCCGAGGGTTCGAAGCGAGGATTGGGTACGACGGCGAGGTGAGTGCATTTATCTGAATGCGTTCGCCTGGGTGCACCCCCCCAGGTCAGTGCACCCACCTGGGTGCACTTCCCCAGTGCGTGCGCTCATGCGCGTGCACTCCCAGGCTCACTGCACCCAGTGCGCAAGGTTTGCGCGGCAGGGGTGAGCAAGGATAGGTCGGCGTGGGCAGGGATGAACGTGGACGGGTATGGGCAACGGTACGCATGGACGGGGGGCAGGAATGGGTATGCCTGGCAGGGTTGAGCAGGGATGGTTATGCGTGGGCTTGCCGCTTCAAACTTTTTGTTTACGTCATCGTTTGTACTGGGAGCCTTGGCCTTCAGTGCTTGTCGCTTCATCGGGAGCTCTTGGGCGCCTTGGTGTGAAAACTTGTTCGTCACCGCTCGCTCTCACGAGCCTTTCGTGACAAGCCTCCCACGTCATCAGGAGCCTCTTGGGGCCCTCGTGGAACCTTGATGCGGCCCTCTTGAACAGTTTTGACGCTCTTTTGGACCGTCTTGAGGCCCCGTTGGGATGACTTGGGACTGCGTTGGGGGTCTTGGGCCGTCTTGGGGCCTTCTTCGGGTTTTCTTGCGTCCTCTTGGCTGCCCCCTGGGGCCCCTTGCGGTGTCATGAGAGCCTCTTGGGCGATCGAGGGCCATCCTGGTGCGATCCGGCGGCCCGTCTTGGGCTTGTCTTGGGCCGTCGGGAGTCCGACAGGACGCGAGCAGATTGATCTTTCAAGAGCCTGAGGGAGATCACTGGGGCCCTTCTGGGCCGTCATCGGGGCCTCCTGGGCCGCCCGGAGGACATCTTGGGCCGTGCTTGGGCGCTCTTCTGGGGCCGCCTGGAGGGCCTCTCAGGGCCATCATTGGTGTCGCTCTGGATGCCCTGCTGGGCCCCCGTGAGGCCTTCTGTCTCCCCCCGGTCCAGCCCCGCCCGGCCAACCAGCGTCCGTGTCCGTGTCCTGGGGCCGTCCGGGGTCCCACGGTGGATACCCATGCCAAGAAACACACCTTGCTTGCCTCCAGGGTCCCCTGGGCTTCTTGGGTTTCGGGTTTTGCTATTGAAGGCGTGACGTTCTCACCCCAAACAATCAGTGGACGTCCTGGGGTCTCAGTGTTGGGTTTCTTTGGACGGCTTCTTGTGGTCTAGATCCTATTGTCCCCCCCTCTCTCAAGCGCACAACTTCCATCTTGGCGGCGGGGTCTATGAGGGGATGGGAATGTCACATGCCTGAGGTCCCCAGCGGGTCGGCGGATTTGTTCGACCTCGTCGTTGGCACGAGTGCTGGCGGGGCCATCAGTCTCTGCATTACAACCCAGTTGTCTGGTGGTTTGCGGAACGCGGAGGAGATCATGCACATAATCGGAGAGAAGTTGTTCAGCCAAGGTTCGACAATGCAGATGCTTCGCTTTGGGCAGAGGGTGCCAAGTCATCTCGTCGAGCAAGTTGTGGATAGGGCCGAGGGATTGCCAGATGCCACGAAGAAGATCTGGGAGCAGGAGGTGCAACGCCCTTGCAGCGAAGGCCCTCTCAATGAAGACGCTCGGGTGCCTCACTGCTTCTGCGTCGCGGCGCGTGCTGATGAACGGGGTCAGTGGAATTCTTACCATCTGCGTAATTATGCTCGTAGTGATCCTGAAGAATCCGATCTCCCCGGTGCTGCTGTGATGCTTTACGAGGATGGTTCCGACAACGCACCTCTGCGGGTATGTTGCAGGGCCACAACTGCTGCGCCGACATACTTCCAGAAGGTGGACTTTGAGGGTATGGAGCTTGTCGATGGTGGTGTGGCGGCAAACAATCCGACTCTTAATGCTATCATCGAGGCTGCAATTATTTTCCCTGACCGCCCGATCGGTTGCATTGTCTCGCTGGGATGCGGCAAGGTACTGCGAAACCCAAACGTTGGTAACAGTGTCTTCTATTGGTTGGACACCATGATTGACCTTGCCACTAACTCTTACAAAACACACCCACCATACGGTGAAGCAACTTATCGCAAGCAGACCCGACTTGATAAAATCATGCAAGTACTTCCGGCTGGAACCACCGACAGGCGACACGCCCATGGAGGAGTGGAGACGCAGTGAGTTGTCCAAGATGCTCAAGACGGTCAAGGCGTATGTCTTACGCAAGAAATCCAAGATGGACAGACTTTGCTTGCGGCTCCTGCAACTCACACTGGAGCCCGAGTGGGAAGCGAAGGATCACCTCTACGAAAAGACGGCGGACCCAATTATGATATCTGAGGAGATTGCTCGGCTCAGAGAAGTGCATTTCAATGAAAGGCGAAGTAGCATGATTTCGGTGTGAGTAATTATTATCAGTTATTATAAGACCTCTGGGCTCGAATAACGCGGGCTCGAAGAACGATCACGTTTTGTCTGGTTTTCCCGAGACCTCCAACCTCCTTCCTCTTCTTAATGCCGTTCCCACCCGCTCAAAGCCACGCTCCTTGGGGAAGCCGTTGCGGACGACATGCCTCGTCAATGCCCAGATCGTGGCTTCGTTTGGCAGGCTGTGGTGCGTGTTTGAAGAACTCGTGCATCTCTGCCGCGGGTCACCCGACGGATTTTCTACAGCATTTGCCCGTGCG